TATTGCGCAAGGGCGGCTGGCGGAGGCTGCGCGTGGTATGAAGGCACCCTTATGTTTATAAAAAGCTAGTACATCACAGTCAGCAGGCATATCGGGCGCTAGTTCTAGGCAAGTTTTCTTTCCCCTTTTCAAGTGAAGGTTGTTGAGGTCTTTCACTGGTCGGAACTCTGATGTTAGAAGCAGCGCGATCTTGTGTAGACAGTGTCCTTTGGCTCGAAACTCAAAGATGGAATCTGTCGCGAAGAACTTCTGACCAACCCCTTCCACTCTACGCCCGTGGCGATGCTCATCATCATGAACTCGTAAAGGTGGCCTGGTTCTAGAGATGTGGTCATCTTTACGGTTGGATGGCGCTATGCACATCAGCAAGTAAAATTATAGGGTAACTAGCTTGCTTACCCGGCTCCGCTCAGCCCTGTCAAAACACTGTAATAAAGGTCCCATCCCTATCCCTGTATAGCCTTTCCCCGTGCCCAATTCTACACTTCATTTCCGGTTTCCTGTGTTGTTTTCGAAATCAGCATGCCCACTTACCCCCCCCCCCCCCACCCGCCCACTCCCAGCCCCGTAGCTCAAACTCTGCAAAAAATCGATAAAATCGATAAAAGTAATCGATAATTCTGAAAACTAATATTGTATTCGGTCGCCATGCTCACTTACCCCCCTCCCTATGCCAACTCCCAGCCCCGTAGCTCAAACTGTACAAAAAATCGATAAAAATCGATGAAAGTAGCCTATGACACGCTCCCCGCCCCGAAGTGTATGTGTGCCAAGTTTGGTCGAAATCGGTTCAGAAGTAAAAATTTCTAGTCCGCACATGCGTACAGACAGACATACAGACACACATTCAGCTTTATATATAAGATACATCTCCAGTGGGAACAATAGGCATCAGCGTGGGTGTTGATGGCGGAACTGGTAAGAAGCTCGATATTCCATCTTTTGTCGAAACGAAGTTAAAGTCTCGTATTCCTTCATGTGCTGCCACAAATAATATGAATGGAAAGGAATTGTTAAAAGTTGCTACTCTTTAATTTAACGTAGTTTGTGATCAACATCATTTCGCATTCGTGTAGTACTGCCATTTTCATCGATGATGCACCTTAAAACCTTATTAAAGGCTTGTAAAAGCTGAAACAGGTTCATCCTTGGAGTATCTGGTTCACAGTGCTTACACAGATGTCTCGTCCTCGCTTAAAATCGTATCATTCGTGTGCATTCTGTGGCCGTATTTATCAACGAACGCTGAGGGTAGACCTGACCCTCAAAGATAGATAAAACCTACCAACCTACCCTCAGTAGGTTTTACCCTCAGGGTCCATTAGTCGTAGGTTTTACTCCAGAAAGCGATTGTTTCATATCCATCAACGAACCTGGGGGTTTCTACCCTTGAGGGTAAACCTTACTCCAGAGAGCGATCAACTCGTATTCATGCACTGGCTCATCAGGATAGATTTAATTCTAGCATAGAGCAGGATTAGGTTCATTCTGACACTTGGTACAAACATCAAAAATGATCTCTCGATGCATTACTAAGTCCTAGCGATCCTGTTTTGACAATAAACACATATTTATGGTCTCTACGATCTCAACTTCCTAATGCCTCTTTTCGTGTTTGCTATAATTTGATGTTATAGTCTGGTATAATATTCGGCGGAGTTTTTATAGTAAAAAATTTACCCTAATTTCACGCGTATAAGGCACACTTTTTCAAATTTTCAAGCGAGCCGCTCAGACGCTTCACTGTAGTCTGGAAAGAAATCCTTACATCGCACGATTCTCTCAAGCAATATACAGCAAGTTATAGGGTCCTCTGGTTGTAAAGTCTATTGGCTTGTTTGGGCTGGTCGATTTGGAAAAAAAATCCCCCGCGCCTTTACGCGTGAGATTAGGGTAGTTTGAATAAAGTGCATGTCCATTTAAAGACTTTGATATGGCGCGCATTAAAGGCAGTGGATCGGCAAAATCCAACAACTTGGGATTTTAAGGCGGTAGTTTCCTTATCGCCCAACTATGAAAACAGTGCAATCCCGGTTGCACAGCATGCTTTCCCTGCCAAGAAAATCGCTCTCGAACTTACACGCGCAGGCCAATCTTACACGCATATGGACGAGTTGACCATTTCCTTCTTACCATTGGAGGCTGCCGCAACGCTATAACCATGGTCCTGCCACGATTTAGCGTCATCGGCCTTGCTCCACCAATATCAAAGGGAAAGGCATTAAAAAGCTCATTTTCGCCGTTTTCAAGCTTTTAAAAGTGGATTTTCGGGACCAGCGTATTGAAAAACCCTAAGTAAGCGCAAATTTGACTAGGTTGAGATTTGCCGAGCCACTGCCTTTGAGCCCAGCAACTTAAAAAAATCTGCGTTATTATACTCGTTCAATAAATGATTTGATACATGATCGCTCTATCGTAGCTCAATTGGATACACATGAAGTTGATCAACAAAATACTGAAAAAGTTCGTCTCTAGTTTTGAAGGCAGCGTCCCATAGACTGGGGGTACCTGGCTCTGTTAGTAATGTAATAGTAGACCCCCTAACTAAGCGACGATAGAAGTTTGCAGCGCGAAATGGGGTCTACGAAGTCCACAAATCCCCCCACCCCCACCCCTCCAACCCCCCAAGTGGCCCGTATCTTACGGCAGGCTCGGGCGAGTACGAGATGCATGCAGGTAGAGACGCAGAGTCGTTGCGGGACCCTGCGCCCCTGATTATGTGCACTACGCGTGCTCTTGCCTTGCAGTTCGAAATCGCTTTGCGGGCGGCATTCGGGCCTACTGATCCGGGCCACTTTCGGGAAATTTTGGGCTTGGTTGACCCCCTTTTCGCCCCAAACTTCAGTCATCGCTTAGGTAGTGTCTACTTTAACACGTTGACGACAGTGTCGCGCAATGGTGTGCAACAGGCAGTCTATCCCTGTGGACGATGTCGCGCAATGGTGCGCGACACCCTAAATATCAGTTCTAATGTGCATAGTGGTTCCAATTTGTGTTATAATCAATTTAGGCTCAGTAGTATTCATGTTGGTCCCGCCCCCTTTTTGGCAAACTCCGTCCACTCTGTTCCTTCCTTCCAAAACTTTTCGTTTTTAAATTGCATAGAAAAGCTCGTAGATGATTGGAGAATCTCAAAGTAACCTTAATTTTAACCCCCCCCCCGTTGTGCGGGGTCCACCCCCTCAGTGGCAAGCCCCGCCCACTTTTTAAAAGTGCCGGAATTTCTACGAATTCTGAATTTTTTGCAAATGCCTGCATTTTTGAAAAGTCGGGCCTTGTCAAAAGTGGACGGAGCTGCCACGCCCACTTGCATTTTTGTATCTCACGCATAGATGCATGCACACATACAGTCGAGTAGATTTCCTGCTTAATGTAGTGTCCTTGCAGACGCGACAACGCTGGGGCGTCAATAAATGCCTTGCGAGTTCCCGAGCTAGTGTTTTCCAATGTTTTCTTTGCTTATTTCATGCTTTTTAGTTGATTCGTTGCTGATAAAGAGGAAAAGGGTAAGTTAAAGAGTAGTTTCTGTTTTCTAAGAAGTTCTATCATCGCATATTCACAGGTGTCCACGTGGAAGCATTTCGCGTCAGCTTCTTGTCTATTTTTTTGTCATTTCCATTTCTTCTGTCACTTCTTCTCCTCCTCCTTCTTGTGAGGCGTTTTTTTGAACGCTAATTGGCTTGCCTTGCAGCAACTTCGGCTTTCATCCATAAGAAATAGCATTTTAATCAAGTACTTCATGTGATAAAGACAATAAGTCAATCATAAAAACCCACTAGCGTTCAAAGAAGTACCTTACAAAAAGAAAGAGACATGAAGTGACAAAAAATAGACAAGAAGCTGACGCGAAGTGCTTCCACGTGGATATCTGTTGCGATGATAGAACTTCTCAGAAAACAAAAGCTACACTCTAACTTACCCTTTTCTTCTTTTCATCAACGAATCACCTAAAAAGCACAGAATAAGCAAAGAAAACACTGGAAAACACTAGCTCGGGAACTCGCAAGGCATTTATTGACGTCCCAGCGTTGTCGCGTCTGCAGGGACACTATATTAAGCAGGAAATCTACTCGACTCTACATGCAGCCAGCTGTGAAAATGCCCGGAAACCGTTCATCCACAGGTATAGACGTCAAAAAAACAGCTCGTCATCAAAGTGTTAACATTGCCACAAAAACCTGGCACTCATCTTTTTGCCGAGACGCTCCTTTAATATGAGTGGGCAAGACGAAGAAAGGACTGGGGATATTTGAGATCAAAATTGGAATATGTGTTTGTTGCAAAACAGTACCGTTAAGACTGAGTGGTGCATTGAGGATCACTTTATGTTTGTACGAAGTGTCAGGGTAAATTTAACCTTGCACTAAGCTAGGGTTAAAGTTACCCTGTTGAGCCACTTCCTCAAGTATAGAATTTACCCTCAGAGTGATGAAATCGGGTCAATTGCTTTCCGGCAAGGTATCCTCAAGAGTACGCTTAACCCTTGAGGTCGAAAGCATCGTCCACCCAAATTCTCGACTTCCATCTAATCGTTCGGGGTCTTCGCATGTCCCTGATTCCGAATATGAAGTCGAGAATTGAAAATCCCAAAAAGCCCCGTTCCGGAGAACCCGCAGGCCGGCTTTCCCGAACGGTGATTGGCTGGGCGCGCACGGATAGGCGGGCATGGATGGGGGGGGGGGGCGGTGCCGTCTGTCCTCTTGCATCTTCGTTATTTCGGAGCAATTTTTTCGCTTCCGAAGAGGCATTTTGCTCCGCGACTTGGGTATGGGCTTGATAGAGGGCCCTACTATCATATGCTGCCAAAAGCTCAAGACCCCCAACTTGGAGGTGGACGGTGCCTTTGAGCCTACCATGTGCATCGTGAATACGGGTTTTATGCTTTTTGGGGAAAACTTACTCTCAAGGGTAAAGTTTACCCTCAAGGTTCGTTGACGAATAATGGCCAGTGCAAGTGAATTCTCGAGTCAACTAATTAGGACTGATTCTTTTGCTTTTAGCCAATGTTGCACGCGTGATGAAGAGGATGATACCAAGTAGCGGAAAAATAGCAAAAGACGCCAAGGAATGCGTTCAAGAATGTGTTTCAGAGTTCATATCCTTTATAACCAGCGAAGCTAACGACAAATGTTTGAGTGTAAGTGAAACTATTGCATCATTTTGCTTTATGTTTCATCCATTTGCAGGAGAAGCGGAAAACGATAAGCGCTGATGATTTGTTGGAAGCTATTACCAATATGGGATTTGATAACTATGTGGCTCCGTTGCAGCTGTTTTTGGAAAGGTAGTAAATGCTTGGAATATTGGGAATCTAGCTCGGTCATACTTGGCTTTATTCAAGATACAGAGCAGCACATAGATTGAACAGCATTTTTCCAAGCGGAAATGTGCCGCGGAGTTTCTCTTCTGAAGGGTGTTTTCCTTCGCAAAAAGGTTGGCTGAATTTTTTTGATGCTGTAAATTATCAAACATTTTCAGGAAGTCCCAGAAATACCACTGTTCAAGAATTTTCTCACCAAACCTCTCTTGCTTCCACTCCCACAACATCCAGCACAAGTGGAACACATAGTTGTGTAAGGCTTTTAATTCTCGTCATTTGCTCATTGATCTTACAAGGGAAGCTACCTAACTTAGCTCGGCCTTTTGGCAAGGGACATATATAGTCTGAATCAGCTTCAAACGCTAATTCCAAATATGCTATTTCTGGCTGCCACGCACCATTCCGAAGCAAATCATGGGCTTTTTTCCTGCGCAAAATTGGCATGCTCATCGACTCACGGGCATCACGTCATCATCATTTAAGTGCTGATACACCTGCATCAAGCTATTTTTAGTGAGAAAAGATTGGATTTGTACTATTTCGATATTTCAGCATTTTTTTCTTGCAGATTTTTATCCACAGGCAGTCTTCTCATGTTCAGTAGTATGCGAATTTTGCGCAGGAAAAATCCCCGTGACTTTCTTCGGAATAGTGCGTGGCAGCTAGGAATAGCATATTTGGAATCAGCGTTTGAAGCTCATTCACCCAAATACAAGAGTTGTATTGGATTGGAGAATAATCTGTGCAAGTTACTCATATCTTATATATAAAGCTGAATGTCTGTTTGTCTGTCTGTATGTATGTCTGTCTGTCTGTGTGTACGTATGTTCCGAATAGAAAATTCCATTTCTGAACCGATCCGGACCAAACTTGGCACACTTACACTACGGGCCCCGGCGGGTGTCATAGGCTACTTTTCGTCATCGATCGATATCGATTTTATCGATTTTATCGATTTTTTGCAAAGTTTGAGCTACGGGGCTGGGAGTTGGCACAGGGGGGTAATCGAGCATGGGGATTCCGAATACAATATTGGTTTTCAGGATTATCGATTACTTTTATCGATTTTATCGATTTTTTTGCAAAGTTTGAGCTACGGGGCTGGGAGTTCGCACAGGGGGGGGGGGGTAATCGAGCATGGGGATTCCGAATACAATATTGGTTTTCAGGATTATCGATTACTTTTATCGATTTTATCGATTTTTTTGCAAAGTTTGAGCTAGGGGACTGGGAGTTGGCACAGGGGGGTAATCGAGCATGCTGATCATCCCCAAGGGGGGTGATCAGCATGCTCGAACACCCCTGTGCCAAATTCCAGCCCCCTAGCTCAAATTCTCAAAAAATCGATAAAATCGATAAAAGTAATCGATAATCCTGAAAACCAATATTGTATTCGGAATCCCCATGCTCGATTACCCCCCCTGTGCGAACTCCCAGCCCCGTAGCTCAAACTTTGCAAAAAAATCGATAAAATCGATAAAAGTAATGGACGATCCTGAAAACTAATATTGTATTCGGAATCCCCATGCTCACTTCCCCCCTGTGCCAACTCCTAGCCCTGTAGGTGAACTCTGCCAAAAAATCGATAAAATCAATAAAAGCAATCGATAATTCTGAAAACTAATATTGTATTCGAAATCCCCATGCTCACTTCCCCCCTGTGCCAACTCCTAGCCCTGTAGGTGAACTCTGCCAAAAAATCGATAAAAATCGGTAAAATCGACATCGATCCATAACGAAAAGTGGACTGTGACACCCGCCGGGGCCCGAAGTGTATGTGTGCCAAGTTTGGTCCGGATACGGCGGAGCCGGGTAAGCCAGCTAGTACTAATTAAACTGACCTTGCTTGAATATCGACAACGTGTCAGCTCAACTTCACTGCCCTGGGAGCTTCTTCACCAATTATACTAGTCTTATCACTGTGCTGCACTCCGTATGTTTATTTCCGGTTCAGTGGACACAATTAAGCAACAAATTCTTTTACAGTACTTACCCTATTTTCAGGTGTATAAGCGGCGGGGTGGTCCTAGCTTACATCGACCAGCTTGAACACATCAATGGACCTCGCATCCAAAAAACCCTATACCGTTGCGTATTGCCCGAAAGAATCATGCGGCATAAGGGTCGCTTCTTCAAACACAATAAAGCGGCTGAGCAGCTTGGGCGAAAATTTGAAAAAGTGCGGCTTATACACCTGAAAATAGGGTAATAGCTACCGACATTAGAATTTACTTGCAACAATAATTTCATAATCATCCGAAGTCTTTTATTAACGTTATCCACACTTGTAAGTTCCAAGTAAAACTTCCTTCAGCATCCGTTAAATGGAGCAGCTCGCTAAAACCGAACATCCCGACATTTTGACATGGAAAGTTGCTTGTACCCCAAACATCAGAACAGACCAGGTTCTAGCGCACAGCATGCTGCCCTTGCCTAGAAAATCAAGTTACGCGCAAGCCATTCTAATACGCGGGAACGAGCTTGCGATTCTCCCTGACCCATCAGAGAAGGCATGCCGCAGAGTTATAACTGAGAGGGTCTCGCAACGCTGCCTCTGTAACCGTGGCGGGACGTGCTCCACTCGTCCATATTCGAAATTGGAGGCCTGAAAAATGGTGGTTTCTGGCTCTTCAAGGGTGGATCTTCGGAATCAGCGCCTCGAATACCCCATGTAAGCAAAAAAGTATCAAGTCGAGAATCTGCCGAGCCTCTGAGCATCTGCCAGGGTCTATTGCTCATGTAATTTTCGGTCGAAATCATATTATCAAGATTACATGTCAACTCACATAAACATATATTTTTCTACCGAAAAATGGTATATGAAGTCAAATAATGTAAAATTTGTATAAAAAACAAAGCGCTTGTAGACATTTAATTAATTTTGAATGCATACATGTCCAATTTAGGAAATTTGATTACTTGAATTGGATAATTTTATAATTTTCACCATTTTTTATACCCCTCCCCCCGGTGGACGTGGCAGTTTTTTCAATTCCTCGACGTCGAACACTTTCTAGACACCCTTCATTTATAAGTGTTAGGCTTAAGGCATACCTCACGCGATTTCAGCGTGAGCGATTCGGCACGGAAGCGACTGTTCAACTGGTCGTTACCGCCCTTTGTTCAAACAGGACCTGATCTGTTTGCAAGAACTTACAAAAGCTACATGCCTATGCATTTGAAAATCGCCCACGACGAATTTGTGGAAATCTGGCAGAACGCCAAGTCGCGACGTCGCGATTTGGTAAAATCGCATGAGGTATGCCTTAGGCCTTAGAAACAGCCGATAAATCGTATTCTACCGATATACTCGTTCAGTAGATGATTTGATACATTATTAAACTGTCGTAGCTCATCTCCATCGTAGCTCGCTTCTAAATAACCCAGCGCTGATCAAAAAATACCATAAAAAATTTTTTTTTCAAATTTCGTAGTATGAGTGACGAGAAGAAAAAAGGCCTGAGCAAATCTGAGATAGTACTAGCTATATATTTATAGCTAGTGCTATCTCAGATTTGCATTTGTTGTGAGAACAGTATCGCTAAGGCCTGAGTCATACCTCCAGCGATCGCGTCGTTACGATTCTCGATTGCTGCGGTTAAACTGTCTGGGCGACGTGCACTGCGTGAAAATCACTCATCGCTCGATTACCGGACATGCCGAAAGCGATTTCGTAGACTCTCACACTTATGGAGAATTCGCGCTAAATTGTCTGAAGTGCATTTTTTAAAATCGAACAGAATGTGGAGCCATATGTTTTCGGAGAAACTACATCAAACAAGAAAGGATAGGGATTTACCATCATCCCAGTATCTACCAACGTTTTTGTGCTGGCGCAAGTTAACTTCTGCTGCAATAAAATCGACAACTAGTTCATAAGCAGGGTAAAGCGGGGGGTGCGGCACGCGACCGCCGGATACGACCCCCCCCCCCCCCATTCCCTACCCCCCCCCCCCTCCTCCCTCCACCCCATAACCAACGCCCAGGTTGTTATTATTATACAACTATTCAAAGTGTGACTGAAATTTTGCAGGACTCAGTCCACTCTATCGGGAATACCATATGTAGTGGTTAGTACTCACACCGGGGGTAAAGGTCGTCAAAACCCAATATCTAGCAACTTTTTCGCGAACAAAATCTACGAAAAGGGTCGCACATGCATGCGCGCTCACCTCTCAACATGTCGGAGAACAACTTCGAAGAGTTCAAAAACCTCTAAACCCGTTTCACATATTTGGATTAAAGGTCAAATTAGACGAGACGCTATCAAAGCTCAACTCCCAATAGAATCTCTAATCTGCCACCCCAGAAACGCTGCAATGGCTCTCCTTATTGCGTGGCGTAATTTTTGCGCTTACAACGAGGACTAATCAGAATACGCGTCAACAGTGCGATATCTATGTACGTCATTAATTCAAAAGTCCAGTTCACTGAAATGCAATTAAAAAGCTAACAAAGTGCTCTGGCTCACTAGCTGTTTAGCATGCCACTTGCTGAGTTTCGCGGATTGATGAAAAACTGAGTGAAATGTTAACGATTTTGGTATGAGTTGCATTTTAGATTTTTGAGCGTCAATATCCATGTTTTGAATACAACCTCTGCGATAATCTAATACATCTTCCCAAAACTACATCTGTGCGCAGTAGAACACAAATTTTATCATTTGATGACCGGCTGGCAATCAAAATCGCACCTCATGACATGCACTCTAACTAAACATGTGGATAAGCAAGCTGCTGTTAAATTCATGGCGTCCGCATGAGAGGGCGGGTCGCCAGTGATGAGTTCAAGAGCCCATACAGGAGTGCGGGCCACCGTCAGCATGACAGCAACTATGTGCGCGGATCGCCAGCTCACGCACATGGGCCGTTGCTGGGCTTAATGCATGTAAAGCAGATATTTGGGTACCGCGCTCAATAAGAGAGTCCAGCTGGGCAAAGGGCCCACTACAGCAACTGTCTGAATATTAGACTGAATTGTTGTAGTGTTCACAGAAAAGTTGTAGAGTTCACAGAACAACCAAATGAGTAAAAAAAAACAAGCAAGAAATCCAAAATGGAATGAGATTCACGTCTACGCCTAGTTCTTGTATCTGCTCCTCCAATCGACTCATAGATCTTTCTTGCTTACGTACACTCAACCGCGAAACTTGGATTTCCTAGAATCCGAGTAAATCGTACAAAGTACAATATACCTAGCAATTGAAATCCTGAAACAGACCGCTTTTGACTTATTCATGTAATTTTCTAGTGC